TTGTATAGTTCTGGCGGTTGTTAAGTTATGGCAGATTGAATTGTGCGATAATTTTTGTTCAATTAGAGTGTGAGCGGCAATTTCCTCCGGCTCAAAAACTAATTCAAATTGATTTGAGACAGGCTATTTCGAACTAAAAGTACGTCGCTAGGCAGGCGCAAATTACACACCTTTAACATAGCCTGCCGGAGTGGCTTCAAAAAAGTGAAGAAAATTTATGACCTTGAAAAAGCGATAAACTGCTTATGGGTATATTGAACATTCCGGCTTTTGCCCTGATGTACGAGCAGTCTTGTTGTTCCGACCATTGTAAACTGAGAAGAAATTTGTTTTAGTTTTTTTGTTTTTGTTTTTCACGCAAAAACAGCTTCCACAAAAAATTATTGGATTAGGTTGAGTGATATATCATTTTAAAGCTCTTTCAGTTGTCATTTGAACGACATTGAAAAAATTTTCCCTGTGTTGAGAAAAACCGGTTTAAAATTATTGAATTTTTGTCAATTTCGAGCGAGTGAGTTGGCTTACATTAGCTAAGTTAAAGCCTCGAGAAGTTAGTTTTTGGAGTTTTTAGCTTCATCTTAGAATTAAAAATTTCAAAACTATAGGGGGAAAATTGAAAAATTAATTAATATGTATTTTGTTTTTGTTTTTTTTTTTTGTTATTTGTCTTTAAATTTGTTTTCCAATTTATATATTTTACAATAAATGAAAAAACTTTCTAATCTCTACCTTTTCGCTCGGATTATTTTATCACACCACGCCGAAAAAACTACACTATTTAGAAAAAAATTAACTTTGTAATTTCTTAAGACTGATTGGAACATTCTGCGCTACTTGCACAGAAACCGGATATCCTTGTTGCTCTTATAGTTTTATACGGCCATTCAATTTGTTTGGCCAAATAGGCGTGTAACAATACTTTCTGCAGGGATTTTTTTTTAGTAATCTGAGAGAACGTGAGAATCTGTTAGCTTTTGATTGATGCAAATGTTGCAGATGAAAATTAAAATTTCGACAATAAAAAGTATCTTTCAATCTAATAGTTTGAAATTTAATATATTCTAATGATGCAATGCTTCACTCAGAGAAAACATTGATAAATGATCAAAATCATTCACGTTTGTTGGTCATACCACTTTCCTTTTGAAACTAATTGCTAGTCTTAGAAACGAAGGCAGCTGCTTACATTAGAAAAATTTTAAAAACCTACTTCAAATTGTCTGAAAATCTTGTCGATTCATATTTATTGAAAAATTTTTATACGTTCTAGAATATACGCTTACATTTACAAAACTTGCCATCCACAGGCAAAAACATCAAAGATTTGTTATTGTGTTCTTTTTTCAGAACAGCTAGTTAACTTAACTTATTTCAATCTGGAATAAATTTGAGAGCAGATCAATTTGCTGAGCTCGAACATTTTAGACAACAAAATGTAAAATGCGCATAAATACAATCAATTCAACTTTTTTAAGATAGCCATAAATACATGAAAAAGGGAAACAGGTGAAATTTTTTGTAATTTTGAGCACAGATCAATTATGTTTTCATTATTGTAATCACAAACTCCTTTCAAAAAGATTGATTGGAGGCCTAAAACTAGTCTGAAGTTTTAGGCATCCAAGCAGAGAACCTTTTTGTTTTTCTTGAAAATGAGGCGTAAATTTGTTTAAAATCAAATTTCCGCTTTTTTCTGTCATAAAGTGTTGTTAACCATTCAATGGAGGCTTAACACTTTCAATTTTTTCAAATAAGAATAGTGTTTGTAAAATAAAGTAGTGCCAGAATTTCTACACATTGAATTTAAAAAAAAATAATTGCAAACCTAAAAAACTAAATTTCGTAAGGTTTTATTAAGCTTATGTACAAGCAGAAATAGTTTTTCAAAATTGTCGGCTTCTTTAGTTTTGATAAAATGTCGCATAACTTTTGCATTGATAATTGGTTATTAACAATCGAGGCAAACCAGTTGACTATAAAATGTGGGCTTAAGAAAATAGACGACAACCAAATAAGATGTCCAGAAAATAACGGAATTTAGACGATAATTTGGGTGCAAATTGTGTGAAGTTTGTTTACAGGCCTAAATTCCTTTTTGGTTATCCAACCACAATTCACGTTAATAATATCACACTTCTATAATTTATGCATTTCAAAACTGCTATTTACTTTTTCGATTTATTGTTTTATAATCAGTTTACGATAATGGTTCTGATCAGTTTTGTGTCATACCTAATCATCTACATTTACAAAGAGTTATGGTTTATGTTCCGTATTGTTACGTTCGTCTAATTTGATTGTCGTCCAATTTCCTAGGCCCGAAGAATATTTATACTTCAATTAGAAAATAAACAACCCGCACTCAGTAAAAGAGAAACTAATAGATTATAATGGATTTTTATTGTCAGTCTCCATAAAATTGAAAAAAAAAAGAGATTATAATCGATTAAAAATAGATTATAATATTACTGTTTTTCGAAACAAAAAAACCCATTTTATAATTGATTATCCTCGAGTATAATTGATTATTTTTTGAAAAAATTATTTCTGAAATTTTATTGAATTATAATCCATTTTAATCGAATTTAATCCATTTTTGTTCAAAAAAACTTTATCGCATCAATTCGTTTTATTTTAGTTTTGTTTTGTGTGCTTTGCAGTTGGTTTCTTTTGTTACTGTTTACTGTTTACTGTTTACTTTCTTACTGTTTACTGCAAGGACGGACGCCTGTTTTCAGGGATTCGACCCCCTGCCTACCCAAAGGGTTCCCTCTTTGAATTGTTTTGAGATATCTATATTTAGTGACGGACCATTTGGCCTTTGGCTCCAATAAAAATTAATTTTGAGGGGGAGCGCGCGCCAAAAAAAACGCGATTTTTTGGTGAAATTTTTCCAAAAAATGCCTAAAAAAGCCATTTTTGGCCTGCTTCTTCAAAAGTTTGCCTGCGGCGCACAAAGTTTGGCCAAAATAACGTCTTTTAAGCGCTTTGGGAGAGCTCGGAAAATCAATTTGGTCAACCTATAAAAATTCGATAAAATGTTTGGAATTTTTTTGAAAATCCGCTTCCACGCGTCGAGATAATTTCATATCCTGGTTTACTTGATTTTTACTGTGTTTTCATGTAGAATAGCTAAATTATAATCCATTGTCTTGTAACTTGTAAAGTATTATTTTGATAGAAAACGGGATTATAATCTATTATAATAGACTATAATAGATCTTAATAGATTATAATAGATTTTCGGAAAAATTATAATCAATTATAATTGATTATAATTTATTAAAAAGTCACCAAAAATGTTATCATTATAATGGATTATAAATCTTTTAAACATCTAAAATTGGCGCTTATAATTAATTATAATTTTGCTAAAAGTAAGATTATAATTATAATAAAACCGATTATTTTCTCTGTTTACCGATTGCGGGAAAGGAAAAACACTTTTTGAAAAGTCAAAAAGTAAGAATTTTTAGAATAATGAAACTTTGTGTCATTATCATGTAAAATAGTTTTTTTCTGCCTAAATCTGATTCTTCATTGCGTTAGTATGGAGATGATAAGGACGTAGCACATATTAACTTGACTTCAGACGAATTGTTCCGCCGTAAAACCGTCAAGCCGATTATAACAAATTGATTGCAGAGCTCTTGCTACGATTGAATCGGACATTAGTTGGAAACCAAGCGCTGTGATGCGTGACGGTCGAATTTCCGCTTTGGCTGATACACCTAATCCCAACCCCCCCCCCCCCCCCCTTTACCCTGTACCTCTTCTTCAGTTCTCATTACTTGCTGCTTGTTCTTTCTCTGTACATTTTCAAATCTATTATGGAATAATTTTTGATCAAACCAGACTGTGATGAGACAATAAAAAGTATGGCGCTTGATAACGACGCTTAGACCGACCGCTGAACTAAAAAAGACCCACCGACCATGCGTACATATTTCAATAAATCAACGCGTTTGTGAAATCTTTTCAAGTTTTTTTTGTGCATTCTTTTTCTTTTTGGTCTAGGAGGCAATCGATAGTTCTTATATTAACTCATTCAGAATGCTCAGCTCCTGTTGACACTTTCAGAAGTTATATTTTCTGCAACAAAGTACGCCACGGTTCTTTGTGTCCTACTTTTTAGTCTTTTACTTCATTTCTGTCGTATATCGCTTAATCAGTGAGGCGTTAACAGGTCTTGTCAGGCATATTATGAAAATATCAGCCATCTTTTATCTGCTTTGGATGAGGGGTTGGGCTGGGTAATTATAAGGCTACTTGACCGCAATCTCCTTTCCCTCATCCAACCTTGTGAGATTTCCCCACCTTTTAATTTATTGTATAGTCAGCTAATCCGGGTTTTGTTTCTATCATTTTCAAAGCTATGGGGACAAATTCTAAAATCTGACAGATTTAGAAGCAGACACTTCGCAAACTAGACAATTTGAGCAGACATGTTTTCTGAGCTTCAACTTTACCAGAAACGTCAGTTATTGGAATTGTTTAGTAGACAAGTAGAGCAACCCTTAAAGTTACCTTGAAAAAATGTGCAAATTTTTTTCCTGTTTGACCTTCCTTTTTGGCTAAGATATAGATTGTAAAACAAACACATGCTTTTCTAAACGTCTATTTGTTGAAGTATTTTAATTAAAAAGTGAGGGATAATACCAATACCCTTAAGTACCTGAAAAGTTTCAAGTGAACTGAGCTTTTTCTAAGTGAACTGAGTTCAAGGATTAATTGAGTTTCTTGAATTAATTTTGACACTTATTTTTGACAACGGAAAGCCTGTTAGTCACCTTTTAAAGCTCTCGGGGGTGACAAAATGACCTCTTTTGGCACCTGGACATAAAAAGTACAAAGTTTCGTTAGAGGCTTCAATGGAAATTTAAACAATTTCATTCTACAATTTCGTTCTTTAAACTCAATTGTTTTTTCCGTAAAAAAAGTTTTGCAAAAATAGTTCGTATATTTTTATTGGGTGTGAAGGTAAGGTTATCTGCTTGTAGGTTTAGTTGCAGTCGGTGCAAAAAAATCAGAGAAAGTTCTCTCAACATCAGAAATTGGGCGATCACTGAGAGTCAGAAAACAACAACAATCGCCGCAGTCAATTTCCTATGGAAAACCTTTCATTTATCAATTACCCCAGGAAGTGAATGCATTATTCCGTGACCTGAACTAGCACACTCATTAACGTCTTTTGTTTTCTTCAAATTAGTTTATCAAAAAACAGAATTCTATCGACATAGAATATTACTTGTTCTCCTCTCTTTGATTCCTTGGCGCTGATGGAAACAAGGTCAACTCTTCACAATGAAAAGAAAAAAATCACTAAGTTTCTCAAAAAGTTTGCCGAAAAATGCGTCAGTGCTGTTTACTTTCTTGCTTATTTCGCTAGAAAATGTTCAGAAGTCAGATCAAATTGAGTTATCGGGAAACAGACAGTCATTTATTCAATTCGAAACTCCGAGTTGCCGAGTAAGATGCAACATCAGCGTACAATTTATTCCCCAGTCGGAACATGGGCTGCTTTTATATATGGATTCCGAAGGATCTACGAAAGATTATGTTTACATCTACTTAATAGACAACCAAGTTGGCGCCACCTTCTCCTCAGCCAATCAGAACTCAGCATTTTTCACTTCGGAAGGCTTCGTCACCAAGTACAACTGGAACGAGATTTCGATTGGGAGACTTGAAAATGGTGTCAATTTCACATTTAACGACGAAAGTGTTCTTTTAGATGGAGTTTATTCAGATCTTTTTGACAGAATTACGAGTGGCTTATACATTGGAGGCGTGCCTTCAGACACTGAGTTTGACCAGCTTTCGTTTCCGAATGTTTATTACAAGCCACACTATGGAGGAAAGGTGCAAAATATACGCAATGATATGGGAGACAATTGGTAAGATTATGATTTGATATTGCATCATACATTATAGTTCCTTGTCGAACATGAGTTAGTTTCCACCTTGTTTTACAAAAATGATATAACGAAAGTAACAAACTTTTAAATTTTGGCAAAAATTTTCAACAATGAATATTTTTAAAATTTGAATTTTTAAATTATCTGACATTAATCAAGGCATACATAAACATTTCATACAAAAAATAGGAGTTTTTAGCGTTTTTGAAAAAAATTATTAAGCAAAAAGGAAAAAATGCAAGATTAGTCCATCCACGACTACGTCATACACACAAAAAAAATTAAATTTTGCGTGCAAAAAAATTTGTTCTTGGAAAATGTTTATTTGAGTAAAAAACTCAATTTATGATTAAAAAAAAACACAAAAAATGTTTTGGGACTTTTTGGTTTTAAATACATGATTTGTCGACCTTCTTGAGGATCGATCAAACTGATTTCCTGAGTACTCTCAGAACAGTATAAAAACCCCATTTTGAGCAATTTTTTTTTTCGGCTAGCGCTCCCCTTCAAAATTAGTATTTATTGGCGCCGAAGGCGCCTTTAGATAAATATTAGGGTTGGTCGGCTTAAAATGGATGTCATAGTTGATGAGGGGGTATAATCCGCCCCGGGTTATCCTGATGGCAATTACACTATATTAGACGTAACCCCGATAAATCTATGCTATAAAAAGATTTTTAAGCAAAAGGAGTTCTCAATTCAGCTAATAAAAGCGTTGTTAAAACGTTACCTTGCTTTTTCTCAGCGTATGTGAAAGATTTACGATTCATTTCATCAGTTTGTTCAACAAAAAACTTTTTCATCAGGTTGTTAAAGGGCAGTCAGAACATTCAAAGTTTTGTCCTGAATTCGAGCAGACTTGTTTTTTTCATGCGTTAACACAATATTTGGAGAATTTAATATGCACTGATTTCGAATGATTTTTGTGCGAAGTTTAGAAGCTCAAGTAGCAAGCCGAGGGTTGACGCTCTCAATTCTGGTTGTCAAAGCTTCCAAAAGATCTTTTGATACTATTTTAATTGGCGCCAATATTCAAAAGTTTGTAAAATTTGACGAAAAATAATCATTTCAGGGTTTCGACAGGTCGGAGAAATCAAAACGGCCGCCGCACTTAAAACCAATAGTGCTCGCATCGAAGCGAAGCAAAGAATGTTCCGATTGCCCTCGTAATGTGTCCTAAGTATTTTTTTTAATTGGACTTGTGTCATCATTTCTGAGCCAAACTAAGTAATCACATGGGCTTCTAATCAAAAGAAGCCAGCCCCAAAAAAAACGCGCGCATTAATGATACTGAATTGGTAACTTTCAAACACCCCAACTTCACAGATGAAATATCTATTTATATTTGAGCTCCGGCAGATTTTTTTCTTTTTTTAGATCGTATAAGAAAGTTTAAGCAAAATGTATAAACTTTCCAGTACAAAAATGCCGTCACTATCATTTTATCTTCTAAAATAGGGACAAAAACATTTTTTGAAAAGCAGAAGGAGCAAGCGATTTGGGTTTATTTTTGATATGAGTATATTTTTTTTATTGTCTGTTTCTTGAACTATTTATATTTTCTATTTGTTTCTGACTCAGTGATGAGGGGGAAGGGGAGGATTGCCCTTTCTCTCAATTCTGGTTGCCAATTTTTTCCAAAGGGTCCCCCATTGGTATATTTGTGCGACATCCATTTTGGGCTGCCCAGCTTCAATAATTTTTGCCAAAATGACTAGAGGGAGCGCGCCAAACAAATCCAATTTTTTGGTCAAACGTGCTCCAAACGTCATTTTAAGCCTGTTGTTTTTTCTTAAATTTGCCTGAGTATTTATAGTAATTTCGGAGAGCTTCGAAAATCAAAATGGTCGTCTACTGAAAAAAAAAGGTAGCAACAACTTCAAATTTTTTTTTTAGAAAAACTGCCCCTCCCCAGAAAAATTTCTGTGCACGCTACACTTTTGACTACAAAGAAGAGTGCAAAAAGCTTAGAAGGATATTTGGAGTCAGTTTTCCTGCTCAATGCCAAGTACCTTAAAGGCACTTTAAACAAGTTCGAGTGCTTTACGTACCAAAGCCCTTTTTAGAAGCGACCCAGTGAACAAATTTTCTCAGTAGCCAGAATATATTTAGATCAAATAAAATTCGTCTTACTTAAACGAAAACGGTGAATTGGGCATCATAATGCTCTTTAAGCAAATGAATTGACAGTTACTTTTAGCAATTGTCACTTTAAGCAAATAAATTGACAGTCTCTTAACTTTTTGCAACGGTTAATTTTTTAAACTCCTACCATCAAAGTTTTGCGAACTGAGTAAGTTATCTAAAGATGATCTAGTTTCAAAAAGTAATTCTGAATCAAAATGCGTAAATTTTTGCTGAGAGTAAAAACAAATTTGTTTATACTTGTAGTAATCAGTGCAAAAAATCAGAGCAAACTCTCCGAAGTATTTTTTTTTGGCGTTATCAAAATTTCAGATCTGAAAGCTTACAATTCTGTCTTTATCAGTTTTTCAGATGTAAAAGTTTCTATTCCCATCCTAAAAATTCAGATTCAAAATCTTTATTTCTAACGTTAACATATTTTTATATCTGAAATTCTTTATTGTTTTAGTTATTGGTCTTTCAGATCTGAAACTCCTTGTCCTCTCATCTGATTTGTGGATACGAAAAATAAATATTGAGATTTGAATCAGGTCTGAAAAGCAAATTTTCAGATATGAAATTAGACCTGAAAAGCTTTTCTTAAGATATATCATATGCATTTTAATTAATTACTTGAATTCCAACTTGTTTTTATTGAAAATTTCTTTTATGTTTTGCCCATTTAGCTGCCAAAAAAATCCGAATGATAGACTTTGGCAACTTGATTCGTTTTTCGATTGATGAAAAAGTTTGTATTTAGGTGTATCCTTTGAAAACAATTCAAATAAGTTTTAAAAAAGAATAAAAACTGGTTTGATTTTTCTCCACTGCGTTACAATTTCGCAATTTAATAAGGAAAGCACTTAGTGAAATAATCGATCCATACAAGCATAGGTTATTGCAGAATTGTTCAGTATAAAAAAGGGATATCTTCGATCAACAATAAAACCACTCCTAGCTTAATAGTATTGATCGTATTTCAGCGCAAAACCTTGAATATTACGACTTTTCTCTTTTACTTGTCTCAAAAATTTTTTTGAAACTTGAAATTTAAACAAAACATAATTCAATTGTATATCAATCAAAAAGTGCTCCGTGCTCCAACTGACTCCAATTGAATTGACTAAAAAGTTTGGCTCGTTTGAATTAGAAACACTTATTGATAAAATTCGAAAAAAAAACAATAGAAACACTTGCTAAAAAATGTGCAAAGTGACGTGATTAGCGTCTAGCAAAGCCTGAAATGAAATAGGAGCAATTTATGAGCTTCATATATGCCAGAAATATATCGCGCCTTAACTGTCCTTTGTTAGCCAAATTGGCAACTTTTAAAGCATCATAAAGTTTTCATCAAGACTGCTCGTATATCAAGGCAAAGCACTGAATGTTCCGACTGAAGTACCAAAAAAATTGTTTTTCTTGAATATTGAAAAAAAAGAAACAAAGTTTTTCATCCTTCTGACCCCTAATTGCTATGTAGAGTAGAAAAAGTTGTAATTATTGTCTCGTTTCCCAATGACCAGACCAATTGATTTGCTGGAACTCCATTTGGAACGCTCAGGCGTGTTATAAGAACGCGCATTAAATATTCAATTTTTGCAAAACTATTAATTTCAAACCCCCTAATTTTTTTTCCAATTGTTCCTTTCATTTGACTTTTGGATAACAATACCTTGAATGGTATAAAAAAATTCCGTCAAAATTTTTAACTCAAATTTCGAAATATGACTGAATAAAGAAAATGTCCAGCATAAGTATTCGGTAGCTTTCTCTGAGTCTCGAAACAAAATGAAAACAGATAAAATATCTATTTAAACTTGAGCTCATCGGGCTTTACCTTATAATTAGTGCAAATGCGATTTTTTTATAATGCGATTGTTTAGTTTAATTTGTTTTGCTTAATAAAGTATACACTTAGCCTGAAATAAATCAAAAGAAAAACTAACGTTTTTAAACATAATGCGAATATTTATAGTAATTTGTTTTGCTTGATAAACTATACACATAGTCTGAAAACATTCATCAGTTTTCTTTTCTGCATTAGGTGGACTGGCCTGTAATAGACAGTTTTTCCAAATCAATCTACTTTTTGAAATCGAGTTCCATTTTTTATTTAATGTGTTTTGACAAACCAAAACCAAAATGACAATTAAATGAAAATTCCGAAATGCAGAAAACACCAAATTGGCAGGCAAATCTTCAAAAATATCTACTTATTTTAACGCAATTTTCTTTCAAAACAAATCGCATCATAGATATGGGAGACGGCAAAGTTTGCTACTTTATAGAACTTCAATCCCAGTTTACATCAGATTTTTTTTCGCCAGAAATTATGAGGCATCAATACTTTTTTTAAAAACATTTCAATTATACATTTCAATTGTCATTTTCAGTCCATTAGTTTTCCATAGCCGATTGCAGAAAACGAATAGCTTTGATTTATGCATTAGAGGAGCTTTCCTTGGCTTTTATTATGGATTTTGTTTCAGATCAGAAAAATAGTAAGTTCTCAAGTTTTGGCAATTACAAAATTCTCAAAATTCATTTTCAAATTATTTATACAAACAACAATTGTTTTCAAGTTGAAACTATAGGCAGTAGGATTTCTATCTGGTTCCACCGCATATAAGAACCCTTTTTTTCAAGCTACAGTTAAATGTAAACACATGTAGGAAAACTAATTTTGACGGCTGAAAAAAAACGAGAAGCAAAAACTTTTCAAAAACTTCTTGAACGGTACTTGAATGCAGTCGACCGTTACAGTTGCAATTCCATTTTCAGTCATAAAAACGAAACAATTATATTCATTCTTAACATAATTCGAAAACTTAGTAAGGCAACCAAATGCGACAATA